AATTCCAAAGGTGTTACAAACAACTATCCATTATCGTATGACACTGTTTTTCTCTCCACCTTTTCCTGTATCTTCTTGTTATCTTCCTTATACCTTCCAATCTTCAATGCCTGTCTATGTTTTTATCTAAATTCTATTCAAAGCTTTGCTTAATGTCTTTTGATATTTAAACAGCAAGCACATCCAAGACTGTGTTTCATTTTCATCTATTCCTCCTCCTGTCCACCTGGTTTTCTTTGCTTTTTTCATGAGCTTTCTTACCTTTTATCTTTCCTCTTTCATATCTTCTTTTTCCAACTGCTCAATATATTATATAGATTTCTTGATCAGAAATTATAGTTGGGAATGAGGCAGATACTACACTCTGACCATAAGTAGAAAACTATAATGGTCATACATAGAAACAAACAGAATAATAGCATAGATACTTGTCATAAACTTATGAATCGACAATTTGGATTCTTGATGTCAGTTTATTTTAATTAAGCAGCATGGGCTATTTAATTGAAATATATGATCTGCTGACAAGAAAGCATCAAAGGCAAAACTTAAATAGGAATATGATATGAATGGTACGCTATTGTAGTCTAAAAGCAGTGCAGTTCTTGGTTTGGATTATTAGTATTATTATTTAATATGAGGTCGATGTTTTGAGGAAATATGATGCTATTCATGAAAATGGACTTAAAAAGGATCAATGAGGAAACTGAGCATATTTTGCTTTCATTAACAATTACAGTGAAGCAAGTGATAGTATTCAGTCAAGGGTAACCAAATACAATGAAATTTTTCTCAGCTTCATTGATGTGGAATATTCTCTTAGTGTTCAAATCATCCATTCATGTCATTTAATTTTATATGAAATAGGCTATCATCATTTTGACAGAGCTCATAACAAAAGTGGTCATAATCAACTCTGGAATAATTACATCTATTTTCATTCATAATTTTCAATTTGATTTTCTCTATAAGCAAATGATTTGTAACAGAATTTTTACTTTGTATTTCTGAAGGCCAGCAGAAAGAAAACTCTCCACTTCTATCTTAAGAAAATGAAAGTTTATTGAAAGAATGCATTTGTTGTTTTCAGTATTGTATATATTCTGAGTGTCTACCAAAGAAAATCTCTTTAATATTAGTCTACTTTAACCCCTATGAAATATAGTATGAAAGGCACCTTTAGTGAAACACTGCAATCAGGTTGTCGAGTATAGCTTCAAGCAGAAATATAAATGTATTCAAGGATGTTAAATGTCAGTCATTTAAAACTTCAATCAAATTAACCTGTATCCCAATTCTGTTCAGCAATCAATGCAGCAGTCATTGCAATTACCATTTTGAAAGACTGACCATACTGTTGAGAACTTTTCAAATCATTGATCAAATACATCAGGACTTTCAGAAAACTACTTAGCAATTCTTATCCACCAGCATGATTTGAAGAATGATGCCAACAAAAACGAAATGTTCTAAATCTAATGTGAAATCAAATTTGCTGGAATGTCTCCAAATGATAAAAATACAAATAAAAGAAAAAAAATACTAAAAACAACACTACATTGTTTCAGGGATATTTTAAACACCTCTATTGAGAGCTGCTTTCGTTCCCTGTGGATTTTTTTTTGTTTTTTGAGATATTTTATCTATTTTTGGTTTTAGTTAAATCAACACTACACAAGAGAGCATTTGGTATTCTAAACTTGTTTTACTTACAATTTGCTCTTGAAAGTGGTGTAAACGGTTTCAAATTTAAAAATAATAATAATAATAATAATAATAATAATAATAATAATACATATGAGAGTCCTATTCTGTCAGTAATGCTTACATTAATTCCCAAGCAATGAAAAACACTTTCTTTCTGGTTTTTCAATTTTAAGCATACATAATGAGTGTTGGAATTTGATTTTAAGCAAAAAAAAAACAAAAAAAAACCAACAAAATTCAGTAGTTAGATGATCAGATTCCATTTGTAAGTGCTAATGAGATTCTAATGATTTTCTTTCATAGTCGTCTGAATACCTTAAGAAGATAATTTTCCAAGAGTAAGCTATTATAAAACTTTTCTGTGTCCTACATTTATTTTAATCCTAGTTTGCTTACCAAAGTAGTATGAACTCTTTCACATTTAAAAATAATATTATACATATCATAATTTGTCAGTATGATCATTTTGTGCTGTTTCTGCTTGTTGCAGATTACATACTCAGTCACATTCTGTTTAAAGAAGTTCACTCATCATTGAGTTATTTTAGGACAAGGCAAAAGATCTGCCCATCAGGTGACAACTTGTGGCTTCATGCAGACACAAATATCAATGGCTCCCAAACAGTTTCATTTACCCAATTTCCCTCATAACACTTAAACCAAACCTTATTATGGCTTTCCAGGACTTTCAAGTAGTGTTGCACACTGGCTGATATTATCAAGCAGTCAGCTCCTTGACAAATCAACCATGTTGAGATTTGATTCTAGGTCTCATGGTCAGAATGCTAACTCTATAGCCACTTGGTCACATTCTATCAGTAACGCTGATGTTAATGCTAGAAGAATGGACATTTCTCTTCTCATAAAACATACAGAATGACTGCTGAAACTCAATTACAAAAGAACTTTGGTAAAAAATGTTAAAATTGAGTGGTTAAATGACCAAATTAGATTTTTAAGTGCTAGGGTGACATTGATGATTTTCTTTCATAGCCCTGTGAGTGGTTTTCATTTTCTTACCTGTAGTAGGCTAATAAAAATCTTTTTTAATGTAGTTATATCTCTAAAGTTTATTCCCTATATGTTTTCTTGCAGGACATAGATCAGTATTTAATGATTAACTTTTTTAATTATTACTATTGGCTGAAAATCTGCCTGACAAGAAAAATAAGCTAGTTCCTGCAGAAAGCTGAAATGAGACATTTCATAGATGAAGGAGAGATGAAGGATTTAAACTATGTACTTACTGAATAATATTTTATTAGAAAATTATCAGCTCTTTATGAAATACTGAATCACAATTAAATGAAATCTCAAGTCTTCACATTTTTACCATATATTTATCCATCTCAGATTTTATTCTCACAATAAACACTGGCCAAATATTGCACTTCCAAATTTCATCAGTCTCAGAGCCATACATTTTTGTCAAATCTGAAAACAGATTTGCATATTGTAACTCAAAGTGGGAGGCTCATTCTATGTAAAATTTATAAAACAAATTTTAATCAGCAAATTATTACCAATTTAGTTTTCATCAACCAAAAACCTGTATTAGTGAGCCAATCTGAGACAATAAATAGAGATGACAAAATAATTTTCTTCAGTAGCTCCATACAATGCAAAGTGAACCACTACACTCTATACATAAGATTCTTACATTCAACTTATTGAGCCCACTACAAGAAATACATTCTTGAAGACTACCCATCTCAATTAATAGTCACTCACTACAAGAGAGAATGACCTGCATTACAAGAAAGACATTTTTCACATTAGCATTCATTCAAAAACATTTCAAGGTACTTTTTATAAGGACTCAGTTATACTCATTTTTCTCTTCAAACATTTTATAAATTTCCAGCAATTCAAAGCAATTTTCCACACTCTGTAATCTTGTTTCAATTTCCTGTATAAAATTTTACATATTTAAGTGTTGCATATAATTTTAATAGTTTCATTATAAATCTACCTCCGTTAATTCCTCCACCTCTAACCTGGTTTATCTATTCTTCCTCCCTTGTCCATTTAGTAATAAACTGCAGTCATTGGTGCATCTGCAACAAAGCTACTAATGTCTTTTATAAGGAGAAATTTTACATATAGCTACAACATCAAGCCAGTTTTGTTTTTGTAAGACTTATAAGTTAATCAATATCATCTAGAGGTTTTTGTTTAGCACCCTCTGGTGGCCTTTTCTTGTATTCCAAATGTAAATACAACATTGTGTTTTTATCTCAGTTTTTTGGTGACCAGAAATGTAATATGAAATACTCATAGAAAAAAGCTAATAATTTTGGTTTTATGTTCAGAAATTTTCAGCTAGACATCTGAGTTAGAAAAAGCAAAATAAAAACTAATGGATACAAAGTAAGGGCCCAGTTTAGCATTATACTTATACTGTAAACTGAATCCCTGCTAAAAACACCTCAAATTTTGAAATTTTCAAAAAATCTTATGTTACTACCCAAAGAAAATGGTTTGGTTATAAGACCTACACCATTTTCTTTAGTTAGTAATTTTGATGACAGACAAAAAGACATTTGGTGAATATGAGTAAAAGTAATATATTCTATCCCATGTCTCTTCAGGATGTAGGTGATCATGGCTCTCTACAGATTCCCTTTTCTTTATTATCTGCAAACTACCATGTATTCTTGGAAAAGATAGGAGTGATTTCTTATTAACTTTTTCATGGTTTGAAATTTAAAGTTTTTCTTTCTCTTGGACTTTTTGCAATCCAAAGTTAGAGACATCCTTCTAGTTAACCTACCACTGGTAGAGGATTAAGGAGGTATTTGTGCCTTTCCTAGGCATATTAGTATGAAAGTGAACACAACAGACTTGGCCAGAATTTGAACTCAACTTGTAAATTCCACTTTCCACACCAATAACTGCTACACTACCTGAATATTCACAAATAATATGGCATGAATGCCACTGGCTATTTATTTTTGTTCCAATGCTTGTTTTAATAGTTGGAGCATTTAGAAGGCTATGAGAAGATAATGAAATCAATTTAAGACATTAAATGACTTAAAATGAATGAAAATAGTCCTCAAAATGTATGTAGTAAAACTGATAGAAGTATGTATGCATGTAAATCCTATATACTCTTCTGGGGAGTATAAGGCCACAGCCTCACTACACTAGGTGCTGCTGCTGTAGTTTCTGTAATTAGTAGGTTTCTACAGCTTGGAGTATTTCATGTGTTACTATATATATAAAGGTTAGAGTAAATTAAAGTTTAGTTTCAGTGTAAAATATTTTGTTCATCATTTTAGGTGAGGCTTTCTTGAAACACCGGTTCCCATACAATCACCAAAGTTAAGCAACATCGAGCCTGGTCAATATCTAGATGGGTGATCACTTTGGAACACCAGGTGCTGTAACATTGGATGTGTGGTTGATGTAATGGATAATTACTCAGAATTGTTATTCAGAGGACAATATCCAATTCCAGTTGAGTTTGTTATTAAATTACGTGCAAATATCCTTGGGAAAAGTATGAATCCACCTCTTCTTCCCACAGTTATGGGTTAATTAGCAAGACTTGTATTACCAAATCATTATTATTTAAAAAAAAATTCTTACAATCTGAAAATATTTTTAAATAACCTGTAAAGGGTTGATAAGCTGTAAAAAACAAACTAATCAATCAATCAAAATTAGGTGAGGCTTTAAAGGGTTGTTTTCTGCTATCAAATACTTTTAAATTGTCACAGTATTTAGTAAAATATTTTTCTCTGACTTAGGAAAAGCTTTTGCAGTCAAATAATTTACACACATGACTAAATATATAGAAAAAAAAAAACAAAATAAAAGCAGACTATTTCACATTTCTGCTGTCAATGATATATTTAACTGACCTCACAGCTAAAAGCAAGTGACCAGTAAATAATACTGAGAGAAAGGTCAGTGGAGCCTGAAGTTAATAGTGCAATGTGATTATATCATCATCCCACTATAGAAATAAAAGCTGCAAATGAATTCTGCCAAAAGTAAAGAAAAAGTCTTAAATACAGTATGAAACAAAAAATCAGACATATACAAAGTCGTGTCTATAATAATTACGATGAAAACAATAGTTCAAATAAATAATGAGAATTCCTCATCTCAAAAATGAAATAATAAATTAACAAAAAACACTGTCATGATAACGCAATGTCAAAACTATCTGACATGGAATATAAAAGGCTCCATAATTACACCACTTCAGGATGGTGGTATAGCGGATATAGGAATCGGTTAAACTTGTGTTGTCATATCATGGTTATGAGTTCAATTTCTCTCTGGATTAGATACTGAAACAGTATACTCTGGTTCAGCAGGAATGAATAACAGTAAACTCTGAAATTTTGCATGTTGCGGTGAATGGTTGCTCTCTCAGGGAGGCCCCATACTTTGAAATTCTATTGGGACTAACCCTAACCCAGGCTCAACCCATACCTCAAGTGGAATTCATACATGCACTAATAAGCTAAAGATGCTGGGAAATGGTAAGTCCCTGTACTGTTTCAATAAGTACCTGACTCCTCCTACTATCATCTACCTTTCCAAGAGCAAGATCAAGCTGAAAATGGAGTATGTCAGGAATTGCCTAGTGTTCACTTTTTCACTACCAAATCCAAAAACATCTCTGCAGCCTTGTGGGTGATGAATTATTTTTCACTCTACAACTCCTTTCCTACAGACAAAATGTAGGAAGTTTCTCTCTATTCTATCACTATTTCCATGGAAAGTGTTCATATAATCTATATTCTTTAGCTTCCCCAGTTCTAACCTTCAGGGCAAAGACTCACCATGCCACACATATTGTAGTAAAACATCCTCATTGCCTTCATATTCTATTGGTGAGATGTTAAGTTTCATTTGAACATCTTCTTTCTACAAACTGCTACTTTGCAGAACATACTTCCAAGATGCATCACTACAAACTTAACCTGTTCAAGTCTATGGTTAACCATTATCATCCCCCACATAGGATTAAGGAGGTATTCATGCTTTTCTCAAGGGTATTAGTGTGTAATTTCAAGTCTTCATATTTTTGCTATATATTTATCCATCTCAAATGTTATTCTAGCAATAAACACAAGCCTAATATTGTATTTTCAAATTTCAACAGTCTCAGTCTCAAAAAACATAATAATATCTATAATATTAATAATCCAGATGAGAAGTATAGTTTGAATAAAATAAAGTGTATAAACTGTGCCTCTTACTCTGTAACCCTCTATCTCAATTGACTCTTCAGCCTTGTACAGGGTGAATGAACATTATTGTAATAAAAAAAAAGAACTGTTATCATAGGGACAAAATCACACAATAATCAACAGGTATACCATATTAGCTAAACAATGAATCTCTGATGATGATCACAAAGTACTTGGCTGAAACATTGCCTATAATAATATCTATAATATTAATAATCCAGATGAGAACTATAGTTTGAATAAAATAAAGTGTATAAACACATAGAGAGTAAAAAATTAGAAATGTGTGAGGACTACTTAAAATGTAGGCATATTTAAAAATAATCATACGTCTGTTTCATCTTTGTAATACCAGAAAAACTATTTGAAGTTAGGAAAAAACCCAATGGATTAAAAAGACATGGAATCAGATTTCTAAACAAAAATCTCTGAAAGAAAATTAACTGCCAAAATACACTAATCTTATCATCCAATGAACACACAACTTTCAAATGAAAGGCACTTTGTTTAATTTCAAATCAGATTTTTCTTTTTTTTTTTTAAAGATCAGCCATAGATATTGATCTGTACACTTCATGACTTCTTGTCCAATGCTTTCTAAGCTTTTACTTTGAGATCCTTGATTTCTCATAGCTATTGGCATGTGTCTCCTTCTTTCAGAGAATTGGATGCACTAGGCTAGAATCTTGATCTTTTCTTCAGGAAAATCAAACAAGAAAAGTAAAAAATAAACAAAATAAACACAAAGGAAAATAAAATAAGCACAATCATGACAATGGGGTTTGGAAGGAAAGCAAAAAAAATGCTTTGGTGTAATTTGAAACTTACTTTTGATTCTTTCTAAATTGTCTTGAATAGACTGCACACTCGGCCTACTTAATGTTTACTATTTTAGTGAAGTTCTATTAAACATGTTATCATCAAGATTTTTTTTCTTTGGTCTCTGAGTATCTAGTTTTTGTTTTACTTCTGGGAATTTCCTGCTGATACATTTTGTCAGTGTCACTTTAAGAATAGTCACTTATTTCACCCTGTAGAGATTCACTTAAGTTCTCAATCTATTTGACAAACTTATGAACAACTACAGAAAAGGATAACATCATTTAATGTATATTTATTAATGAACATGATAATTTTTGCCAATAAAAATAATTTGCTAACAATGTACCATTTTTTATTGTTTAAAAATGGGAAGAACATATGTGAAACCAAGTAAAAAAATATCATTTTGATTATTGTTTAGACAATCATGTATCGAAAGATACATGACTGACAAGGCAGATTTTTCCAGGTTGCCATTTCTTTCTGCAGTAGACCAGTTGCCATCCAAGGCTATAGAAGCCAGTCTGTCCTGCTATTTACCTATAGCTGGGGAGAGAAGAAGAGGATTCATACCTTTCCCAAGTGAATGTAATAGATCTGACAGGAATTTGAACTTGGCTCTCCGATTTCTCAATCCAAGCCACTATCTGTTACTCCACCATGCTATGTCAATAAAAAGTTGTATTCATTATATATTTGTTACAGGAAATGATGTTGTATAGTTCATTGAAGTACTAAATTATCTTATATTCATATATTTTATTTTCATATTCAAAAGAAAATCAGGAAGCTGTTTAGCTAATTATTATAATGGCCAACTTCCTTACAAATCAAGAGGAGACTTGAAGCAACTGAGATGTGATTCTACAGATGAAGGCTGAGAATACTATGGATGGTGCATGTGAGCAATGAGGAAGTTTTAAGCAAAATGAAAACAATAAGGAAAATTAGAATCAGAAAGACACAGTTAAAATTTTGAGGATACATAATAAGAAAAGAAGGCTTGAAGAAATTAACACTCACAGGGCATACTGAAATGAAGAGGGACAGTAGGAAACAGCAAATAGCCTACACGGTTGTGTAAATGGATGTAAGATCAGGGATTTGGGAGGATTAATAAAAATATTGCTCAGAGTTACAAAGAAAAGGAAGTTGTGGAGAGTCATGAAGGGATATGGTGCTTAAAAGAGACTTTTCCCACCAGTGGTAACTGATGGCTTTCATTGAAGGTAAAATATCAGCAAGTCTTTTCAATATTCCAGCATGCTCTTCAATATTCTACCTTATTTTAGTAATGCTGTTGCCAGAAAACTACCAATTCTTTAAACCTTTTTGCAAGACTTTTTTGATGATTGATGAGTAACTAGTGGATTACTTAGAAGATAAGGGAGAGAGCTAATATTAACTCTGTTTGGATATTGCAGATTTTGTAAGTATAATGTGACTTTAAGAAACAGTGGCTCAGTATTCCCCTTTTTAACACCATTTTTCAATGCATGAAAGAACCTGACAATAGATTTAAAACCTTTGATGTTTTGCTACAATTCTGTTGCTCTATGACTGAACAATAAAATGATAATAAAAACTATTAATGTCTATTGACAGTTTTGGTGCCTGTAAATCTGAAGATAGCTTGTCTTTGGCTATCCAAATGAAAGTGTTGTCATGCAGTTGTTAGTGGCCCTACAAGGCAGACTAGTGAATGGGTCTTGTGTATATATATTTATATATATATATATATATAATCTGATCTACTTATATAGAATTCTTTGGCCAATACTCCACTAGCAATGAGCATTGATTTTGTCGCCCTGAGGGAAAAACAGCAGTTTCTCATAGGGGACTTCCTAAGCAGACAATAAATATGCCTGCAACACAATTAGGTTTCTCTTTTGATATATTTGATTTAGGAAGAGCCAAAAGCAAATCTCAAAGTAAGGAATTTCTATGATTTACCTATCTATCAAGGTACATTTTTTTCTGTCACCATAATAGTAAAAAATTTATAACTAATCAACTGTTTTAACACTTGAAGGTAGAGGAGAGATAGACATTTTCAAAATACCCACTCATAGACTTATGCTCGAACCAATATTAGAATAAGGTGGTGTTTTTCGTCTATAAATTCTTAACAACCTGTTTAGGCATGTGAATATATAAATCATTATATTGTGAATCAATATAAATGGCAGATTCAAAATTTAAAAATGAATTTTCCTGGAAAAGCATTCAAACATCATATCAGAATTAAAAATCACTTATTATAGAAGCTTATTTAATTTAACATGCTTATAAATCTAATTTCTGTGTACTTTTGCTCTCAAAAATCTTTTCTGAAAATTGCTTGTTTTCATAT